TTCTTGAATTGCTTTTCGTTATAAAATAATTCTGTAATCAACAAAAGAAAAACAATAAGTACATAACGTTCCTTTATATATAAATTTATATATATTGTGCAACGATTTATATAATTGCAATGTTGATTCGTAATTGCGCGAAACTCAGTAAATTTTCTCTCTCTCTCTCTCTCTCTCTCTCTTTCTCTCTCTCTCTCGCTGTCTTCTCTCTCCGTTGTTCTCATTTGTGTAGCAAAAAAACAAGAATACGTTAAAAAAATGCAAAATTTATAAGTAAAATTCCGAGACGTCATTCCATAAATTTACCTACAATAAATATTTGTATTGTTTGCTTCTTCTGCTGATAGTCAAATATTTTTGCTTATTCATGTCCATAAGCAAGTACAGCTGCTGCCAATGGTTGGTAAATAATTTATCAACTGGCTGGTTGGGGGTTTTTACAATTCAATTGCATTGTCATATATAGTTTTTATAATGTTCCAGAGTCGCATTGACTCTTTATCCATTCGTATTTATATTTATTTTAAAGGTCTTTGCCTTTTGAGGAACCGCTGCACACGGCAGCCGCTAGGGGGCGCTATGGTGCTAATGCGCATTTTAATTGTTGCTAACTAGCATTGCAATTTAGCTTTGTGTTTTAGGCTTCGTTGCATGTTGCACATGGAAATTGTTAGGAAATTGTTGTAGACCTGCAAAAGAAATGCGCTGAAAAAGTTTTAATTAACAAGCACGGCGAATGCCAGACGAAAGCCCGTGCAAAAGCTGTACACCGCTTCCTCTGTGGAATCGCCAGATGCCAGTGAATTCCAGGAAAGTTCAACTGTTGAAATTGTTGTGGGGCATGAGAAAACTGGTTTTCAGGTGATGCCAGCCAAAAGGTAAGCTGGAACCGGTCCAAGCAGCTAGCGCGTCTGTGTTGGCCTTTAAATCAATCAGATTCCCGACTTGCCCTGCGCTGCGTTGCTCGTTCCACATACACACTCAAATACACCTACATATGCATATAATATGTATGCATCTTAACATGCCCCTTTTCGTATATCCGGTATGTGAAGAAATGCCCAACGGCGACGATAATCATCAAACTGGGACAAGCTTAATAAAAGCTGCAACATAAACATACATATACTACGAGACTATTGGATACACACACGCGGTCAAAATTCAGTTCAAAAATATCATAATTAAAACCAGTTTATTTCGTTGCCGTTGTTGTTGTTATTGTTGTTGCGACCGCAACAAAACCAAAACAAAAATTGTAACCGCATGCAGTTCAGCCATCCATGACAATGGAGCTGCTGGTGCACGCCCGCCGGCCACACAATACATTTGGGAATTTTTAAATAAATTACCAACCAGCAGTAGTTTCTCGATACCACAGCAAGCAAGCCAGCAAGAGAGCAACAACAGTAATAAAATACTTTAACTATACAACAAAGCATGCCCAATTGAGCATATTTCCCATCTCGTTTATGCGATTTTATTTTTCGCCACCTCTGCATACACACATTCGTCTTAGGTGTATGGTATTGGCGCAGCTGACAGGCTGATACTTAATAATAATTCATTTACATATTATTTGCCTTTTGAATAATAATGACACTCAAAGCACATAAATGGCATGGGAAATATTCAATATCGATATTTACATTCAATTAAGCTACGGTATTTACGTTAACATAATTCTGTTCTGTTAAGTAAAATTTATGTTGTTAACAGCATGCTGTTAATTCTTATTTGAAGTAATCCAATTTCTGCTGCCTATGGCAATGTTACTTTGGTGGTGTGCGTTAAGTTGCGGCTCGCGCGTTCTCAGTTTGAGGTCGTGGGTTCGAGTCTGATGCTTGTCGGACAAAGACAGACAAACTTTAGGATTTTTATTTATAAATTTATGTTAAGAGTATTTATGATAATGCCCCTAGGTTTGCTTTGGAAATTCGCTGCTCAAAAAGCAATTTCTTGTTTACATGGGGGGCAATAGCAACACGTTTTGTTCACTCCACGGAGGGTACGCGTTTACTTCATTGTTTAGCGGAGCTCTTCACTAAACCTATAAACGACATTACTATTTTTGTAAATTTATTTTATATATTTAGTTATCGTAATTTATGTGTATTAATTATGTTTATTCATTTTATTTATAGTTGAATTCAAAGTTTTGATAATAATAAGCTCTTTCTCGAATTCTTGTTCAGTTTAATACAATTGAAATTTAGCAATTTGTTTTTATTTTTTAAAGTTTGACTTTTTTGTATATACACATTGCTTATAAACTACACTTAATAAGAGTTCTTGTTTACAAATAAATTTTAGGATGAAAATGCATTGTCAACGAAATACAACAAACTAGCAGAGTAACATTGAAATGTGACTATTGTTCGGCAGCACCATTAGTATTGCGCTTTTGTGTTCGTGGGGGACTCTCGGGCTTCTATATAGGCTAAGTAACATAAGTTCTCCTCGGTTTAAACGAACTCGTAGCCAATGCCAAACTGGAAACCATTCTGGGCTTTGTCAGAGGCCTGCTTTTGCAACGGGACACAGTAGTTCAGTTCGATGCGAGCGCGCTCCGCCAGCTTGACTGCTAGACCAATGCCATAGGCGCTGCGCATGTTGTCTGAAAAAAAGAAAAAATTGAAATCAATTAAAAATATTCCATATCAGATAAGTTGTCTGCTTACCCAGTGAGAAGGAATTACTATTGCCCATATTGTAAAAGAAATGCATGCGAAAATGACTAGCCAGGCCCTTGAAGACGCCTGCAAACGGCAGCGGCGTCCACAGATGGGCGCCCGTGCACCAGAAGGTCTGCGCCCCGATGGGCGTGCCATCGATAACGGGTCCAGCGCAACCGTACTTGAAGCCACGCAATGTCAGTGGTCCGCCACAATAGAATAGATTGCTAATGGGCAGCACTGTCGTCTTTTTCGTCTCTTTGACGACGCCGACCCGTGCACAGAACTGGGCCACCAAGCCCGCAAATAACGGAACATTCACCTCCCCGTGCGCCGTACTGCTCGTGTATGCAACGTTGCCACCCAGGCCGCAATACTCGTTCACTGACTTCAGCAGAAGGCCACGCGTGGGGAAGACGCTGGCATCCCGATTGTCAAAGATTAGTGAATAGCGCACCAGCGATGCCAATTTGGGTCCACAATGATCGCGTATTCCGAACGGCACCGATTTGTTCAACAAGCTCAGGTCCCTGATCGAGTTCTCATACTGCAGCGAGTGTGTGAGCTGATGGTTAAATAGAGAAACATTCAATTAGTATATGAGAAGAAAGGAAGGCGCCTCTGTTAAATGTTAATCCTATAACAGCTTATATATGAGTGGGAAATGTTAGTCTCTTAACAGCTTGTAAGGAAGTGAAATGTTAAAGCGTATTTTATAAGCTTTTATATGAAGGGAAATACTCTTCTGTTAACAGTTAAATTGAGCAGCTTGTATATGAATGCTCCCATTTGATCTCTTCTGTTAAAGCTAACAGATTGTATATTAGTGGGAATTCTCGTATTTTAGCTAAAGCTAGTTGATACAGCTGTTAACAGCTTTATTTTCCTTCACAGTCAAATGTTAAAAAGCATTAAAATTAGTTACTAGTTTCTTGGACTATTTTGACAGCTTTCTGTCTGTGTCGATTACATTAACTAAACCACTTTCTATCTTTGATTAATTATGACCCTTAATGTTAACTTACATCAACGCCTAGCATTGTGTGTGCGCTAAAGTCCAGTAAGTAGCCCAAGTTGGTTGTCTGAAACGAGCTGATGTCATACCGATCTGTTTGCCTGAAGACGCTGAACGATGCTCTATTTGGGTAGAAAATCGAAGTGAATTTAAATCAATCAGTGTAGCAATTATCAGGACTTACTCGGGTCGATTCTCGCGAAAACGCGTGTGAAAGAAGGGTTTCCAGAACTTCAGCTGCAGATCGTTTGCTCTGGTGCTGCTGTAGCTGCCCTGCAGTGATATACTCTCGCCACGTCCCAGTATATTCGGTATGGTCAGCTCGGTGCGCAGCGAGCCCTCGTTTTGGCCAATTTCAGTGCCCGCCGAGCCCATGATGCGTGTGAACTCTTTGCCCTTCAGCGTCACCTCATAGCCCTGTGGTGTGGCATCCGCACCTCTGCTAATATCTATGTGCACGCTCACATCCTTGAAGATGCCCAACTCGTGCAGGTACGCTTTGGCTGCCATCGCCTCCAGCATCATCTCCTGAAAGTTGTTCGCCTTGAACAGGCCCTCGGCTGCTCGCATCACATAGTCATCGTGGGTGCGCTGCAATCCGCTCACATTCACCTTATCCACCCGGGCTGATATTTTGCTCAGGTCGTATTTACTGTTCGGATCCTTCGGCGTAGACATTTTGTGTTAGTGGGTTAATTCGTGGGGCAGATGTTGATGTGGGTGTTAACTGGCTGGCAACAACTGCAAGTGGAAGATGGATAGATTTACATGAGTATAAGTGTTCTATATAAAGAAAACATTGTTTGCTAATATGAATTGTTGTGTGACAGTTAAGTAACATAATTTAAACGTTTGGCATTCAAGTAAAAAATAGTAATAGTATTTATTTTTGAATATAATAGTAATAATAGAATATGTATAATAACATATTTTTTCGTAAATAATATTAACTATATAACATAGTTTAAGTAGTAATTAATTCATTATTTTTAGTCATAATGAATAATTGTACTCTACTCTTTACTTAAAGATACCATAATTTGCGTGACATAATTTACATAACATACTTTTTCGTACATTTATTCAATTTATCAAACATTAAGTCATTCAGTTTTATTATGAGTGTATATATTATAATTATAATAAATGTGTTAATATTTCACAATTGTCATAAAGACTTAATACATTAAAAAGAACATTATTTTAGTCCTATTAAATTTTAAAAAAATAAATAAAATAAAAAATTAATTAAAATATCAAGTATTATTTTATATATTTACACCTAAACATATTCTCCATTTTGCTTACAGATTGAACTAGAGAATCTCAATAGCGCTACGGATGAGATTAATAAGCTCGAAATCGAATTGGAGGTGATAATCGAAAGCAACCTTCAGTTGACACCATAATCAATATTTAAATTAATCATTAACAGGAGGCGAACTCAACGTTCCGCATATTGCTGAATGAGTCGACGCGCCGCTTGAAGCTCTCCTCCAAGAAGCTAGGCAACTGCATTGAGAAGGCGCGTCCCTACTATGAGGCGCTGGAGAAGTTGCGCGAGGCGCAAATCGAGTGCCAGCAGGCGGCGGTAAAATTCCAGCGAGCGAATGGTGAGTGTGAGAATTCCATTGTTGGAATGCCTGCTACAGCAGCAAGTGCTCTTTACAGAAATCCATGCAGCTGCCAAGGAGACGGTGGCATTGGCCGAGCAGCGCTTCATGTCCAACTCTCACGAGTGGCAGTTCGACAATGCCTGGCAGGAGATGCTAAATCATGCCACACAGAAGGTGATGGACGCGGAGAAGCAGAAGGCCGACTGCCATGCCGAGCATCAGCGACGCACGCGGCTCTTTCACTGTGCCGAGCAGAAGCTGCAGCAGCTCGAGGATCGGTTCAGGCGCAGCATCAACAAGTCGCGTCCGTACTTTGAGGAGAAGCAGGTGTGCCAGGATCAACTGCAGACGCAGAAGAATCGCATCCAGGAGCTGCAGCAGCAAGTGAGCAATGCCAAGGCGACTTACTCGACGGCCTTGCGCAATTTAGAGCGCATCAGCGAGGACATACACAGGCAGCGCGGCGATTATCCTGCGATGAGCGGATCTCCGCCGCCGCCCGGGCCACGTGAGCCGGGCGTGGGCGCTGAACTGAATACACCCACCTCCAGTACGTTGCCATCGCTGCCCGACTTCCAGCTGGAGCTGGAGAAGTGCGACTTTCCATCGATAGCGGGCAGCCAAATGTCGCTGGGCGGCGGCACAGTCGCCACGGCGTCGGCCGTGGAGACTGAGGACGAGGCCGAGGAGGACAATGTGTGCGACTACGATGAGAGCGGATTGGGTAACGAGCTACGCGGCGTGGTCGATGAGCGCCAGTTGGAGGCGTTACGTCAAAAGGTCAAAATACTCGCAGTGCGACCCATCGAGGGCGGCGACGGACAGCAGCAGAACGATGTGTGGGAGCACGAACTGAAGGCCACGGTGGACAAGCTCGATCATCTGATGATGCTCAAGGAGGCAGCGAAACACCAGCAAAATGTGCGAGCCAAGTCCACAGAGCTACGCCCAGACTCACTGGGCGCCGAGGCACTGAAGCGCCACACCGATGTGGACGAGGTGGACGCCAGGGATGTGGTCATCAAGATCAGCACCAGCGCCGTGCCCACAGTATCGATTACCCACAGCCTGCCCGTCACGCCGCAGCACCAGCCGGGCAGCAATGCGAGTTCGATCAAGAAGCTGCAGCAGCAGCTGGCGCCACTGCCATCCGTGAATGTGTCCATGCGGGAGCTGCCACTGCTGGCCCGACTCTCGAATGAGCTGTTGGATCGCAGCAGCGCTGCCATGGGCAGTGTGCGCAGGCAACTGCGACGTCGCTCTCTCGAATAGCAGCAGCAGCAACTGCAACTGAGGCAACAGCAGCAGCAGCGACTGCAGCAGCGGCAGCGACAGCGACTCTTTGAATCAAATTAATAGTTTGTTTATATTAAATGAATTGTGAAATGTCGTGAAAATATGGAGTGAAAATGAATGAAACGCATTTAGTTCACACACTGAGAATATTTTGAGTACACATACATGCTTTAATATTTAGCATAAATACATTTAGCATAAATATTACATCTATTTTCGTATATATTAAAATATAAATGTTTATTAAACGTTGAGTGTCCTGCATAATGTAATGATTGTCTCTCAACTTGTTAATGTATATCAAATAATTACTTTATGTCCTCTTTTTATGTGATTGAAAAACGAAAATTGTATTTTGTGTGCAAATTTCTAAAAAAAAAAAAAAAAAAAATGAAAGAAATGAAAGAAAAGAACAGGCACTAAACAATAAGCAGCTTTAAGTTAATGTTTAAAACGAATGAAAACAAAAACAAACAAAAAGGAGAAAAAATTCAGAAACAACAAAAATAAATAACGCAACCTACTAATTAAAGAGCAAATGATAAAAATGGGCACATGCACTAAATAGTTTAGCCTAAAATAACACAAAATGGAATGAAAAGTTAAAATAAGAAATGAGAGAAATGCAAACGAAACGAATTCAATTAGCCGGTTAAATAATGTAAGGCAAGGTTCTCAAATAGAAAATATTATGAAGAATAGTAAGCGCTAATTGTATGTCAATGATAAGGCAAACAATTATTTCCGCATACTTCAGAATACAAAATTCAATTTATGAAACAAATAAAAATGTAAATTTTAAATTAACCGCTAAAACTGTCTTTTCTTAACAACAAATTGCAAACACTTTATAGCAGCTGACTATAAAGCTGCTTTAAGCGTGACTCTTTTCCCTCCAAAACGAATAAAAAAATAGCTAAAAATTCAAAAAACTTTCTAGCTAGTACAGCAGTTGGCTGTTTCCCTCCAAAACATATGCCCCTTAGAAGTCAGAAAGTTGGGCACATAAAATGTCATATAACACAGGCATATTTCCCAACTCAACACACACAAGCGTAATTCTACGCAAAGAAATCCTTGTTCATAAAATTTGATTTTGTTTTCATTTAAAATCAGTTCCTGTTATCAATTAAAAACTTTGTTTAACAGACATCAAATTGGCCCCAGTTTCAAGGCTCTTTCGAGCAGTCCAACTGTTAGGCAATTGCAGTTCTGGGCGCCCGTAAACTAATATTAAGTATGATGTCATTTGCTGCCTGCAGTGCGGCACACAAATCTATAAATGCAAAACAAACTTGAACGCAAAAAAGGCCCAAAAATTATGTAAGTCCAGGCATTGTGTCTTACCTGTTTTACTACCACTGCGTTTGTTGGCCACACGCGACACTCGAATTTGGTGAATTTCGTTACGAATATTGTATTAAATATAAACAAACTGAACGCCGTTATATTCAGCTTAATTTTTAACCAATTTCTTTCGACTTGAACGGCACGCGTGCGGCACCAAATAATAATCAACTAGAGATGAGAGTTGTGTGCGACAGATGTGCGTAAGTATTTGGTTAACTATCGGAAAGTAACAAGTTGCTATACACGCAATATAAAATAAATAAAAACAGTCAAATTTAAAAAGTTTGTACAGGGAAATTAAAGACTTATAACATGTATTTCAAATAAAGAAATTCATATGCAATATTCATATATTATTATTTGTAAGAATTACAATGAAGTATTATGACATTACTCATCTCTAATGTAAGCAACTGCAGACAGCCTGTCTACGACTTCATGTGAATGGCAGTCAATCTGATTTGCAAGTCAATTGCTTTTAACAGCTGTTTAAATCTCTGTTTCCCTCCAAAGTGTTTAGCAAACACAATGAATTCAAAAATCATAAACGAATGAAATTTAAATGTAGACATGCACGGGCACTTATAGATATATTGAATTTCTTATTTCTTAGAATTATTGACTTTGGTGCACTTGATGCCATTCGATTGCAATTTTCGCATTATATCCATAGCGAGTTGCTTTTTTGGATCCACGCCCCGGGTAGGGCTTTCAACGGTGTTTTCTCGTGTATTACGACGTTTGACCTCCACGCCGCAAGCCCGCAGCTTGTTCAGTATTTCCTGTGTGTCGCCGCCTTTGGATGGACTCGTTGCTTGTGTGGTTGACTGGGATGGATTTTCAACTGTTGTTGGACAACTAGTTGCTACTGGTGCTGCTCCTTCTGTTGTTGCTGCTGCTGCAGCTGCTGCTGTTGCCTTGGCTGCTTCGGCAGCTCGGATGGCATCCATACGCCTCAAGTCCTCAACGATATTTTCCACAGTATATATTTCGTTTTTGATATTAGCTGTCATTGGGGGCATTTGTAAGGGGCCGCTCGATTTGTGTTGCTGCTGATTTGTGAGAATCGTGCGTGGAGTCTTGGGCGTGGAATGTCGCATTCGCTTGGCGGAGGATTCAGGCGACTCTGAATCCGAGCGCTTCGCCTTTTCGACATCTGCTGTTGGATGACGTGGGCGACTTTTGGCTACGTTTTCTTTGGCATTGGTGGGCGATTGGTGCGCCTTGTTGTTGTTGGGCASTGGTCGACTCTCCTCGGTATACCAGCGCGGATCCTCGAGCTCGGCTTCCCAGTCAATATTACATTTGACACTGTTCACATGACGCACTGCGCTCGGCTCATAAATGTGCAGCTGCAAGAAATATTTACTTTATAATATTTAGCTTGTACATAAACCCTGTGGACACGACTACCTCTTGCTTGCCATTGATCAATCTTGTCTCTCGTTTTGCTTCGTCGTAGTGCAGCTCGTTAATCGACGTGACTATGTGCCTGATGCCAATGCATTTGTTGAGATGCGACTGAAAGGTGTCCAGGCACAAATAATGACGCTGACAGGTTCGGCATATCAATATGAGACGCTTCTGCTGATCATAGAATATTTCTCCGAATCGCACTAGGCGCAGCGATTTTGATTTTCTATTCCCGTTCATTTCTTTTTAGTTATATACATAAAAATGTATATATATTCTTATATACTTTCTTTTTTTTTTTTTTTTTTTTTGCAAATTAGCAAATTTGGTTGGTTCTTTGGTTTAAGCTGTATTATTGCTTTAAATACTGCTCACGTATTTCAATTCTCAGTTGGTTTTATTAATGTTTAAATATTTTGTTATTTTCTGTCTCTATCCGAATTTCAGTGCGAATAATTGTCAGATTAGTTTGGAATGCACCTCTATAGGTATTTGGAAATCAATTCTTACCAACACATTCAAATTCCATTTTTAATGAATGTTAGCTGTTATTAACTTATTTCAGTTATTGTATATTTTAATTTTATTTTCCAAGATTGTCAATTTGTATGCTCTGCTCGTAGTTAATTGGTGGTGGGAGACTGATACATGGAAATCGAGCTGCAGTTCGATATGCTTTCGATATACAGTGGCCGTGCGTGAATAATTAGATAAATCGCTCACGCGCAGTGTTGGTAAGCATTGACTGTTGGCTTTGGCGCGTATTTGAATATTAGCTTAGAGCACTGCCAATGCATTTTCGTCTGTCAACTTATGTTCATTTGTTTGTTTTGCGCGCTTTCAACTTGTGTTAATTTTATTTGAATTTATGCATTTGGTATGATTTTGCATTGCTTTGTTTCTTTTACCTTAAATGGCAGTTGGCTTTTGTTGGCATTGATTAACGCCCATGCAATTGAAATTAAATCGCTTGCAAATGATTCGTACGGTTGATAGTTTTACGAAAAAATACTCGACAGCAAATGCCGCACCATTTGTTTGCAATTTTTTCACTCAGCTCTTGTCATATTACATACATACATATGTACACGGTCTGATTTTGATTCCCTGACTCCGACACTGTAGACGCAGGAAAAAAAAGGAATCCCTTTTAATGTTTCGCGTGTCGCGGCACTTGTGCAATGTACAACCTTTTTTTTTACTTCTTTTTTCCAGCTATTCGCATGGGTCGTAAAAAGCGGTGCACATGTTTCGGATCACGTGAACACACACATGCACAAGCTGGAGAAAAACTTGGACCCATAATCACCTAGAAATCAAGCTTTAAAACTTGTGCCTCGTGTCCACTCAGTGTTGACATTAATGCTTATAAACTATTGGAACAACAGAAGCTAATATGCATGTTTTAGTGAGTTACACTAAGAAAACGACGATGGACGCCGCACGCACAGATGTAACGAGTCCGAAAGCAAGCAACACTTTTTGCTGCAGCTGCAATTGGATTTCTCTAGCATGAAGTTGCCGATGCAGTAGCATGCAATTAAGCAAGGATAGTCAGGCCACTGCTGGACCTGGCAACTGGCAACTGCACCTACAGTCCACTACCCATTCCCATTGCCATTCGTATGCCCCAGGCCCCAGGCCCCATCTGTTGCCATTGCCGTTGTCGTTGCATGCTGACCATGCAAATTACGTTGCCCACAGACGCACACAGGCGCGCACGGCCACAGCCACGCACACGCACACGCACATTCACACATACATGCGAATGCATGGGAACGCAGCCCTGTCACCGTTTGGTCGTGCGCTTGACTGATGCAGTGAGACAGGCAGGCAGCCAGGCCAAGAGTGAGCGGCTGATGGCCAGAAGCTAGTCCGCACCGAGTGCATGTACGGCCAAAGTTAAGTTAAATGGACTTGCGGTGCACTCAAGCAGCCAACACACACACACACACACACACACGCACTCGTACATGACTTTAAGCGAATGCGTGCATGTGCGTGTGCCTTTGTGTCTGTGTCTGTGTGTGTCTGTGAGGTGACTGGTCTAGTCCATGTCAAGGTAGCAGCTCGACTAGTAGATTAAATTAAACGCAGCAACATTGCAGCTGTAGCTGCAGCCCAAGGTGGAGCAACTGCACCCAGGCAATGTAGAGGGACAACAACATTATACGTGTTTACACCATGTCCGACCAGTTGATATGCCAACTGCTTTGAAATACACACGAACACACACACAGACACACAAGGACAGTCTGTTGGTGCGTTGGACAATAAACACTTGGAATGCCACAGCGTCGTTGTCAACTATTGCCACCTTTCCTATTGTTGCCGGTTTTTGTTTACAGTTTTTTAGAGAGGCGCGTGTGGAAAAAAATCAGTGCATACTTTCAGGTGCAGCTGCTGTCATAATACAAAACAACGAATGGACCGGCAGGTGAAGGAAGTGGAGCGTGGCGGGAGGGGGCGGGCTCGCGAGCTGCTGTTTGTGCGCATTGTGCGCGCCCTGACTTTGAATTAGACTTTGGCTTGCTGAGCTACACGTTGGCAGCGCACACACACACGTTCAAACACACACACACACTCATACATGTACAGATGCTTAGGTATACTACATTCATGTCAAAGTGCTGCATGGCTATGCAGGCTGCTGCAGCTTTGTCACAAATTCTCTGTGTGCTTACGTGTGTCTATGTGTGTGTGTGTGGGCCGTGGGGTCCAGCCAGTTTGGTTAGTTGACTTTTTAAAAACCATAGCACACACTTGTTCTGTCATTTGGCTGAGCATCTTGCAACTGAGCTGCAAAATATTGTTGCCCACTTGAAGGTAAGCACTGCGCACATCCACCTCTATTTAAGATTGTTGAGAAACTTTTGAAACTTTGGCGCACAAGTTATTGATATACCTCTCATTGACGGCATTATTATTGGCGAGAAATGGTTAAATTTTTTGAAATATATTTCTTTTATTCATTATTGTAAGTCCTCCTGAGTATATCAGAAGGTTAGGCTCTATATAATATAATCTAACTGTGTTCTTAAGGTACTATACTTGCATTGTACAGATTCAACGGGTAAAAGAAATATAACAAAAAAAAAAAAATAAAAAATGTTATTATTATATTTAAAAATTTGGTAAAATGTATGTATTAGGCAGAAGAAGCCAATGCAGACCCTAAAGTGAATATATTTTTGAGTAGGGGAATGAGATAGTCTGTCCGTCCGTCCGTCCGTCTATCTATCTATGTATGGAAGTGTCGAGCACAGAAACTTTTGGAGCTAACGACATATAATTTTGCTGAAGTCCCTATAAACCCAAGCAGATCAAGTTTGTATAATAATCGTATATATAATTAATCGATAGTCATTCTATAAATAAATAAATAAATAAAAATGATTAAATTTAGGACAAACACATCCAAAATCGTCTTTCAATAAAAGGATTTGGTTTTAAATTAATTAATTTAAATTAATGAAATGTATTTTAAAAGTATAATACTTATGTATACAAAATTTTAATGAATATTTACAATGATTTTGATTTTTGTTAAATTTTGGATAACGTGCACAAATGTTACCAAATTCTCTAAATTGAAGCTCAGTTTTTTTTAGTGATTATATTTTGCAGTTCCTTTATTGATGACTGTCAAATACATATTTGATGTCTCCAATCCAAGTCCCCATATACATAGCTCCGCATCTGCCCAAGCTGTTTGAGAATCAACGAATGCTCTTGTTATTATTTACAGTGAGTAGATATAGTATATAGAGCCAAGGCTGCCTTTTTATACAGCTGATTGGGCAGAAGCATATGTAGATTTTAGCCAACATTCATGCGGCAATTAACACTGCCATTTCTGTGGTTGCAAGAGCAATTCAAGAACTGGTCAATGCATTGCAATGCGATAACCTTGGCTAACAACTTTCAGTTTAGACTGTCTATTTCGCACTATGAAACACAATCGCATCGACTCAAAAAAAAAAAAAAAAAAAAAAAAAAAAAAAAAAAATAAAGAGAGAGGCTATTCAGATGCTGTTTAAACAGTTTACTATTTGCTTGCTTTAGTCCTCGTTTTGTTTACAGTTTTTAAGAAACGTTTTGCCAGTTGCTGCTTGCACTTCGCAAAAGGAACAACAACAAAAAAAGCAAAAGAGAATGAAAGCACAGAAGCAAAAAACAGCAAATGGCCCTTAGGCTGGCCGGCTTTCTATTGACCATACGAATCAAAGTTAACGGAAAACATTGCATTGCATTTTTCTGCTCCACCTGAGTTGGCAATGTCGTTTTAGCCATACGAATCAATGTCTTAATATTACGCTCATTTATTGACCAAGCGCAAACAGAGCAGCAGCAGCAGCAGCAGCAGCAGCAAAAGTCAAGTAAAATTGCTAAAAACGCTGCAACTTGCCCTGTATGTGTGTGTGTGAGGGTGTGTGTGAGTGTAAAGAAGACTGTAGAAAAATAGACAAATGCAGCTGCGCTCACTTCCTGGATGACTGCTGGCTATGGCTATGGCTATAGCAATGGCTTTTTGACTTTGCCATCGACATCGACGTCGACATTGACTCCTGCTCCGGCTTCGACTTCGGCTGGGGCACCGGCTTTGGCAAGGCATAACAATTGCAGGAGATCGTCAATTTCCTGGCTGCCTGCAGGTAGCCAAGTTGATTACAAAGCAGTAAAATCAATAGGAAATGCAGTTAAATATTTTGCCAGCCGAAATAATTGCAGAGAACGAACGAAACGAAACGAACGCAAAGCTAAATCAAATATGAAATGTTCACTAGGGAAAGAAATATAGAAAGAGAGAGAGAGAGAAAGAGAGACTTGGACTGAGTAAAAAACATTTTATTGCCGCCTTCTGCCGCTGCTGCCGTTGTTAGCAGAAATTATTTAATTAAAAGCTGAGAAACTGAAGCTGCAAACTGAAACTGAAACTAAAGCCGTTGCGTCTGCTAGAATTTGCAGTTGGCCAAAAAGCAAAGACAGAGCGCCAAAACTTATGGCCCGGTGTGAAAAGTTTTGCAGGCCAAGCCCGAGCTCTCGGCTCAACACGGCCCGGAAAGAAAACAGGTGAAAAAGTTGCCTCACTCGTCTCGGCTGCCAGCTCAATGTTGGCAGCATTCAACTTGTTAAACAATTTTCGTATATACGAGCATTTTCGACAAGTTTGCGCTGTGTGCTGTGAAAAATCTTTAAGATATGCCAAAAGAAGCCCAAAACGTAAGCTTTAGCAGCAGCAGCAG